TTGAATTGTACACTTTAAATGGTAAATTGTGTGAATTATATCTCAATACACTGGTTTTTAAAAAATCTTTTACACGTTAGCATAGTTTTTACTATGTTTTTACTTTGTTACCTTGCAAAGCTCTGAATATTGTTACAGAAATTTGTCAAATTTTTCAGGAGAGTATGAGATAAGAGAGAAAATGTTAGATTAAATGGTTGGGCTTGGTGGCTTATGCCTAATCCCAAAGAGAGAAGGCCTCTTTGGGAGTTCAAGGCAGGTGGGTCGCCTGAGGTCAGGAGCTCAAGACTAGCCTGGCCAATATGGTGAAGCCCTGTCTCTACCAAAAATACAAAAATTAGCTGGGCATGGTGGAGCATGCCTGTAATCCCAGCTACTCAGGAGGCTGAGGTATGAGAATCACTTGCACCCGGGAAGTGGAGGTTGCAGTGAGCCAAGATCACACCACTGCACTCCAGCCTAGGTGACAAAGTGAGACTTCATCTCAAAAAATAAAAAATAAAAAAAAAAAAAGAAAGAAAAGAAAATGTAAGATTAAGAGTCTGGGACATGTGATTCCAGGCCTGCTTTGCCACTTCATTGGTTGTGGTGCCTGAAGCTCAATAATCAACTTCCCTGGGCTCTGTTTTCTCATCTGAGAAGCAAAGGATCAAAATCAGGTGATTAATTTTTAAATATTGTGATTTGCACTTCTTACTGAATGCCTAGGTTTTACAAATAATCACTCATCTTTTGGCATTTTAGAACATGGAACAGCCTTGTCTCCTTTGGATACCTGGTTAAATGACAAATTTACTACCTTGCAATGAATACTTATCAGGCTATTTTCAAAAGAGTTTCTTGGCTGGACTCTTCTTGAATATAGTGAGCCTGAAAAGTATGGCTGGAAACCACTGTCCAAACAAAACAGATGACAACATTTGTTTTTTACACCTCTTAAAAGTAGATTAGCTATAGATCAGAGCATGTCACTGCCTAAAAAAATGTGGTATATATTTGCTTGCAATACATATTTGTTGAAAGGCAACAACACTTGTGTTTACTCCCTAGGAAACTCTCAGGGCGTGGGGTCAGAGGAGAGCATGGAGGGGCAGCAGGCCAGCTCCGACAGCCCCTGGGAGTCTATGACTTCTGGGCTCAGACTTGCTTCCTCAGCTGGCACTGTGTTCCTCCCATGAGTTGATCATCGGCAAGACCAAAGAGCTCCCTTCTAGTAAGTACCATTAAGGAGTCCAAGGTCTAGACAGAAAAGAACGAGGTCAGGTATTTCCAAAGTATTTCATTCTAATGAAAATTTATTTCAGAAAAAGGCCATAATAACCCTTTGAACTAAGTTAACAAGAAAGCTACATTTTTGTCACTAGTTCTATTGTTGCCTCAAAACAATAGTAACAAAACAGAAAATAAAAAGAATTACTGGGAAAAACCAGAAATTAAGTACTCTCCCCATCTCCCATTCCAGACATAATAAAGTGATGTGATTTAGACTAAAATTTGCCAAAAGCCAGTACACCCTTTTTATCCTACTAGGCAAACACAAATACCGCAGAACAAGAATTCCATCTTAAAATAACAGCTCTGGAAAAAAAAGAAGGTAGTAATAATCTTCTACTATGTGACTACTGAAGGTACTATGTGACTACTGAAGGTACTATGTGACTACTGAAGTCTGATAGGAAAGGAAAATAGACCTCCCACAAGTAAAATTAGTCATAAGTTATGATAACCTGAGAAGAAAAACAGATTCTGGATTTGTCAATTCAATTTGAAGATGGAGAAAAGCTTATAAGCCCATGATCACCCTCTGAACCCTTTACAAAGGGCCACACAGCCACATCAAGGTGTCAAACATACCCTGAATTAGAATTCCATCTTGGCTCAGTGGGATAAGAAGTTTTGACTCAGCCCTTCGAGGAGAGCTTCGATTCCTCCATCCTCTGACCAGAGCCCCCACCATGGCTGCTGGCAGCATGCTCCCCGGGTCGCCGTGGTCCTGCCTTGGTGGGTGGGGGGGCCTGGTCAGGCTGTCACCACAGGAGAATCATGTTCTCCTTGCAGGTGCTACACCCAAGCCTGACAGGTCTGGGCAGTTCCTCCCGCCCTCATCTCCCGCCCACATTCTCATCCTTCTTGCGTTGCCAGACCTCCCTCGGGAGGCTCAGGGAAAGAAAGCTTGGGAGGTGAGACAAGAGAAAAACAGACAACAGCAAAAATAAAAATGAAGAATAGGAATAAAGTCAATCAACTGAAAAGAATGGCCAATATTATAAAAGCACAGTCTCCTTTATATGAGGGATCATTTTTGATGCTTCTTTTTTTACTTAAAGTCTAATTTTTCAACAAGCAAAAATGACCATGTGTGGGAGGGCTGAGGCGGGGTATGTAACTGCATACCTATTTCTCTTTTCTCAGACTATGTTCCTTGCTAAATTGGAAGAGCTTTCAGGCAATTGTTTTTGCAAAGAGAACCATCTTCTACATAAACAGAATTTGTTTACAATATAAGAAAAGTATTTCTAATGTTTGGAGTGTTCACAGAATTACACTGGCATTTGAGAATGAGGAAAGTTGGTTAAGAGATTTAATAAAAATCCCAATCAAGTACATCACAAAGACTTTAAAAAGATGAATCGAATCCAATGACCTAGTTAGCTCTCCTACGGAGCCCAGGTAGAGGTGCCTCATCCTGACCAGCTGGTGCCTGTGCTGCACTCATATAGGACGCTACTCACATGTGCCCCCTACTGGTCAGGTGCCAGGGGCACACTGGGCAGTGACCAATGACTGCAGTAAAGCAGGGGGAGGAGCAAGTAGCTCTAGAAAGTTCTAGACTCCCTTGGCCATCTCTGTAAGCTATATTCATTCAGCCTAGGTGGTAGAAGTTGAGATTGAATCAGCTGTAGGCCGCCTGAGAGGTTTTGGTATTGTTTACTGTTGTTATGACTTTTATGGGTTACACAGATGGAATGATCCATGCCTGATTTCACTCTTTTTCTCCCCTTCCCTAGTTACATCTTATTTAATTTAATAAGATCAAGATAGTTTCTGCAGGAGGTGGGCAAATTCCCCGAATCACCTAAAACTGCTCACATTTAAATAAAACTACAATTTACCAAAGAAAGAGTATTTCAAGGATACACACCTTACATATTCATTTTGTTGACATTTACCTTATTATTTTGACCTTTCCAAAATTCAGAAAACCTTTGGTATCACTGTGATCAGAGGGAAAGTCAAAATGCAGGATGGGATTTTAAAATGGTAGAAGAGTAGGAAGCTATTGGCTCTATTCTCTCCTCACCGCAATCTCAGGGCGGGATTCCTGCTGCACCATCTGGGAGGGGCAGCCCTTGATGAGACGCGTGTGTCCTGGGCCTCCTTGTGGGTGCCTCTCCTTCCTCACTGGAGTGGGATTGCTTTTCCACGGGCAGCTCCTTCTGCCACAGAGGGCTGAGCTGGGCTCTGATGGGTTCAGGGGAGAGCTGCTCAGGGGCAAAGCCACCTACTCTCTAGGGAAAAGGGCAAAGAGGCCTTCAAAATCTCTGTTCCTGTCACACCCAGAGTCAGTAAGACAGGCTGAAGCTGTCTTCTGCTGGGGTCATGCCCTGTGGGAGTGGGGTGGCATCAGGGAAGAGAGCAGGGGAGCCCAGTGCTCAAGTGTGGGGTTTGGTCTTGTCTTGGAAGACGGGGTTAAAGAGAGATCTTGAGGAACGACCCAGTGTCACTCACTGGAGACAGGATCAGGAGGTGGGAACACAGCTGTGCATTCACCTGGAACCATCTTTTTGGAACTTCGTGTTCCACGGTAGGAGACTGCGTGGGCTGAGAATTGGGAGTGGTAGAGTTGAAGAGAGCCTCTATCAAGACAAGCAGAAGGCAACTTTGACCCCATCCTTACGGTGAGGTGGCAGGGAAAACGCAGCAATGCTGAACGCACACACGTGCTTCCTTAACCGGACCTACTGCGGGTGAACCACGCCTTTCCCGGAGATGCAAAGGGAAGCAGCTCAACAGCGAGCTCATGAAGTCATTTCCCCCCGAAACCTGTCTGATTATAAGATACACCCCCCTGCCCGCGCCATGAAAAGGGACACACTGAGAAAAGAAACACATCTAAAGGACGCAGTATTGAGGCTATTAAAAATCTACTAACACTCTCCAAATGGAGCTCTCCTTGGAGGCCTCGATCATTACTGCTGCCACAGATCCAAAAATCCCCATCCCCCATGGGCCAATCAGAAGTCCAAGGGGAGACACAGGGTAGGCCAGAACCATTTCGGAAGCACAGCAAACTGCCCAAATTCCGACACTGAGACCCCTGCACAGCTGCTGCCATCAGCCACCAGACAGGATATGGAGGTATGTGAGAAAGTAGGCGGATGGAGCTGGTTGAAATCTCAAATACAAGTCTCCAACCCCGCACCTGAATTTCCCACCTAGGGGAACCTCCTTTGTGCATTCGTCATTCCCTGAACAGCCAATCACAGTACTTTTCGCACTCTGTTGAGATGATTTACTGTTAGAGTTTGTCTCATGCAATTATCTATCCCCAAGCCTCGGGGGGCACTTAAGGGGATGCAGATTCCCAGGACTTGCTCTGAAATGGCTGTTCTATGAGGTCTAAGATAGTGCCAGGGAGCCTGCATTTTCTAAAGCTTTCCACATTTGCTCACATTGTCAGCCTGGATCTGATCCAAGGATAGTATGAAGATGCCAATTTACTAGCCTGAGGGCTTCTGAAAGTCATGGATCACAGCCTTCTTTGTGCCCAGTATAGCGTATGTACCCAACACATAGATTGCTGGGTGAAGAGAGTCCCAGAGGCCAGGGACATCTACCCGTGGTCTCCACCCGAGGACGCTGCCTGATACTTTTATCCTTCCATAAAACCCACTGCTTGCCACTGCCCGTGCCACCACCCTGGCTGCAGGTGCCATACCATAAGATCGCCTCATCTTACCTCCACCCCAGGCCCCTCAATATTCCCATATTTCACTCGCCTGTGATGCTCTGGCCCAGAATACGATTTGTCCGAGCAACAGTTTCCTGCCTCTTCCACCCCACCAAGAATGGCTCCATCTTTCCTTCAGACGTCCTATGCCCTGGATACTAGCGCAGAGCGGTCCGTGTGTCAACTCAGGGTTCAAGTTGAACAGCATCATTGAACACTCTGTCATCCTTAGTTTTCCAGTTATAGCAGATGGGTGCACAGTGTCCAAGGTTTTCCCCAACAGGAAGCTGAGTGATGACCGTGACTGCAGTGGGAACGTGGTCAGGAAGAGGAAGAAGGGTAATGTCCTGCCTGGGAGGTCAGCGCCACCCTTCCACACACACACACACGTGCTTCCTTCACCGGACCTGCTGTGGGTGAACCACACCTTCCCCCGAGATGCAAAGGGAAGCAGCTCAACACTGAGACCATGAAGTCATTTCCCTCCCAAACCTGTCTAATTGTAATATACAACCCCTCTCCTCTCATGAAGAGGGACACACTGAGAAAGGAAACACATCTAGAAAACCAGAATCATCCTGAAGGCTGTTTACAGGCCAGCATGGCTCACAACAAACTTTCATTCATGGGTGTTTGTTGCTAATGTCCTGTCGTGACAAGTTGACAACTATCCTCTAAATTTCATAAACATAAATACTGTCCCCATCTGCCCTCTACAGAGGATGAGGCTGAATTGGGCCATGTGTTTCTCTGGAGTCTCTTAGGGCCTAATGTGGTTCTAAGCACACAGAACGCATGCTAATTGAAGTAATGTGTGTCAAGCTGTGATGATGTTGTTGTCAACTGTTAAGATGCACACAAAGCCATCAGCATTAAGTATGCTATCCAACTCTGTAGCAAATACTTGACCTCCTACTATAATGTCAGGGAGGAGTCTTGGGGTGAGGGTGGGGCTGTGTGTGGTGTATTTCAACCTCACTCCTGATGTTCTCTCCATCTAGGTGGTCCTCCAGGAGCTCCTGGTCTCTCTTTAACCCCCAAATGCCTCTCTTGGGGGCAGGACTCAGGAATTAGACTGGCATGCATAGGAAGGGAAAACTGGGCAGGCATGATTGGGCTGCACTCCTGCTTTCAGGGCACAGAGCTGCCCACCAGTAGCACCTGCTTTGCCTCCCCCTTGCAGGTGCAACGTCTGCTCCTGTGTGTGAAGGGCTGCTCAGGTCCGCCTGTTGCCTAGGAAGGTTCCGATTCTGAGTTCGGTACTAAGATACCTACAGGCCCAGACATGAGACATAATCTCTAATGTCAGCTTATTAGCAATAAAGATGAGAATTTAGTCTTCCTCTGCCTTCCTGCTTGGTTTCAAATTCTCAAATTGGGCAGAACCTGGCCGGGTGACGAGGGTCTTCACTGCCTTTTCCCCAAGCCTCCACGTCTGGTGGACTGGCTCAGGGACACGGCACTTGAGAAACAAAATGATCCTCAGAGATGGTGGCTTCTGACAGATGTGGCACGGTGGGTGTGGGCCCACTGGTTTCTCATGTGGCCACTCGCAGCACAGTGTTTTGTGCCACAGTTCGCTTCTGCAGTCTTGCAGGTGGCCTTTATCGTGGCCTGGTAAGCAGCGTTAGTACACTTTTTACTTTGGCAGCTGACTCAGCTGCTGACAACTTTGCCACAGGTGGTGGCTCTTTCTGGAGTGTCATTGGGCCTGCCAGCACGAGGTCCGGACATGTAGGCTCAGGCCTCACCATGCACAGAGGCTGCATGGCCTCAGCAAGGTGGTCTTAGCCTAACTGTGGGGGACGGGGGGACTTAGGGAGCAGGCATCAGGCTTGCCGCTCACCAGATGTACTGAGGCAGAGTCAACTGTAGGAAAAGCAGAGTCTTTATGTTAATAGGTTTTTTTAGCATCAAGGGTGAAGCCATATTGCAAAGCAGCATGCTCTGTGCACACTATAGAATGGGGTTTAGCTTTAAAGGATCACTGCCTGGCCCATTTAGCCATACTTCATCAGCTGCTGCAAATTCCGTTCTGTACTCAGGGCCAAAAAGAAACTGAGGAGTGGCAAGGTTTGGGTTCAGGAAGCTCATTCACAGGTTTCAGGGTCTCCCTGAACTACAGGGCCTCAAGTTGGCTCCGGATCGCTGGGTTCTCTCAGACACCACCGGGACTCTGCTCCGGGCTGCATTTAGGGAAGGATAGCTGTGCAAAGCTAACTACTCCAGGGGATGGGGAAAAAAGGTTTTCTAAATTTGGAGGATGTAGAACCATCTGTGTATATAGAATTCTCAATACAAAGAACATGGAGGAAATTCTACAACTCTTTTTTAAAGACGGGAAATAAAAAAAAGATGATCTACTATTATCCTTTCTGTTCTTTTTTTTTGTTGAGATGGAGTCACCCTCTGTCACCAGGCAGTGGCATGATCTTAGCTCACTGCCACCTCTGCCTCCTGGGTCCAAGTGATTCCTCTGTCTCAGTTTCTGAAGCAGCTGGGACTACAGGTGCACACCACCATGCCCAGCTACTTTTTGTATTTTCAGTAGAGACGGGTTTTCACCATGTTGGTCAGGATGGTGTCGATCTCTTGACCTCGTGATCCACCCGCCTCAGCCTCCCAAAGTGCTGGGATTACAGGCATGAGCCACCACACCCGGCCTATTATCCTTTCTTTTCTCGAAGTGATAACCACTACCCAGGCTGAACTGTTCTGAATTGGATGTTGCACAGAATTCACCCGAGCACTCGCTAACTCCCATGCTGTCTGTACGGTCCTCAGCATTGCGGGGGCCATGTCTATGAGAAAAGCAGTGGAAACACCAATGCATGTATGGTTTCTGCTAAAATAAGTTAATCCACAAAAAATGCATTTGTAAATTCATATAGAATTTGGACTCTATATGAGCATTACTGCCTAGAGATGTTCATTACTTCCCAAGGGCACCTCGTCTCTGTCTGTCCTAATGGTGGGAAAATGTGCTCAAACTTGCCCATCTAAGGCAACTTTCCCATGATTCTCAGTGTGTCCTCCTCCAGATGTAGCCCTCTTCTTCCTTCAAGTGTAAAAGCTACAAATGGGTTATCTATCTGTACTCACTGTCTTCATCTCTTCCCCAACTAATGCCAATCTAGTCTCTTTCCTGCTTCACCACACCGCCCCCCCGCCAACCAAAACAGTTCTCTGTAATATGATGCTGCTTAACCCAACTGGTATTTTATGTTTCTTCTGCGTATAACTTCTTGGAAGCATCTGATGCTTCTGGCCACTGTTTTCATGTTAAGCACTGTCCTCCCTTGGGGACCACGGCCCCTTAGAATCCTGGTTTTCCTCTTCCCTGTACCAACATCCCTCTTCAATCTCCTTTGCAGGATCAGCCAATGACTCATTTATATTTTCAGCCCAAACTTCTGAGCACCAGACCAGTATATCCAAGTGACTATTTGATAGCTCAGCTTTGAGATTTCACAGGAAACTGAAATGTAATATACCCAAAATGAAACACAACTTCTCTCCCAAACTGGGCCTTCTTCCAAGGAATGTCACTATCATTTGTGGGGTTCTGCCAACCAGAAATGTCAGAGCCATCCTTTCCACCTTTTTTTCCATCACTCCACACATTCAAATCATTACCACCTCTAGTCAATTTCTTTACTTCTTAATTCACTTGCACGTCACTTCCTTTTCTCCATCTCTACCGTGGTCATCTTCCATCTGTACTGGTATAACATTCTACTAAATATTCTCTGGAGGGGAGCAGAACTATAGTGCCATGATCATTCAAATGGCAGACCTGATGTCACCCTATCCTTACCCCATCAGCTGAAAACTCTTTCATGCCTTTTCATTTCTTCTAGGATAAGGATCACAACCTGTATGTAACCTGGCCTCCAGCCATGCCATGTTCCCATCCTGGTCCCCTTGCTGACCTTACTGGCCTTCTCTCCCACACCATGCCAGACGCGTCACTCATCTCTAAGTCCCTCCAGAGCTCACTGTCTCTCTACATTGCTTTTCTGCCGCCACCTCAGTTCCTGCTCACCTGTCAGATCTCAGCATGGTGATCACCACCTCATGACAATGCCTACCTGTATTTTTTTTTCCTTTATGGCATTTATAATTTACAATGAATATCTGGCTTATAGCCATCTCTCCTACTAGTCTAGTTTAGTATATTGATGGGGTGGTGGGGAAAGCGCATGTGTTTTTTGCCCGCATCAAATTCCCACAGCCTGAAACAGCACCTGGCACAGAGTACATACTTAACGAATGCTTGCTGAATGACTGAATGAACAACTATACAGCCCTGAGGACTTTGGTGTAATTAGTGTGGGTGATATTTCTATCACAGCTGTTGTAATTTATAAAAGCATGCCATTGCTTATAATTAGGTAAAGAAGCAAGCCTGTAATTATGAACTCATTCCCATGGGAAAACATGATCTGCTTTATGATAACTACTTTATTTTATGGATTCTTCAAAGAGAACACTTTGGTGAAAAGTGAGCTGCCTGTATTTCTCCTTTACTTACATTTAATATTCACATCTTCTCTGCCCTGAGAAACGCTCTATTGCTGAACGTAGCCATGAAGTTCGACAAATTTAACAAATAACTAAATATCTCTTTATAGCTTAATACTTATTATATGATTACAACCTAGGTTAAATTATATTAAAAACTGTTATTAAGAACAGAGCAACCTAGAAAAGTCAAGGCAATGGAGCTTTCTCATGCCAAACCTTTAAAATCCTACAAACATGATTTCTGTATTTAGTTTCTCCTCTATATCAAGGCAAGGCAAAGCTACCTTACGTCATTATGGCACTTTAACTCACACACACAATTTAATAAGAGTTTAAAATTTTGATTTTATAGAAAATTGCTCATTAATATTGTTGGTTTTTTCAGAGATTACTTATTTTCTCAGCAATGAAAGGTAATGAATTAAGGCTGATTTCTAGTTTATAATTAATTGATACTCAGAGAGTTCATGTTTTAAAACTGTAATATCAGTGATAACTTAATATGATAAAAACCCAGGTTTTCTAATCATATTTAAGAATCACCTAGAAATATTTTGTCTTTCATTCACATATTCATTTGCTCATGATTGGTTAGAACCAGTTCCTAAGAACACCTGAAGATTTGGCCATTGGAAACAACCAACTTTAGGAAAGGCTTTGTTATTTGTAATTGAACCCTGAAATGTAAACCCTGTAAAATTTTAGATAGAACTCTACATTAGACTGGTGCAGAACCTTAAGCCACAGAGTGTGCCAGCATTTCTTTCTCTATTTTAAAGAGTACGTGGATTAATTACAAGGTGCCGACTGACCTGGATTAGTCTTTATCCCTGCCTGCACAAAATTAATTCCTACCATTTACATCAATTAGATTAGGTCAAGATGGGTAATTCAGGCTGAACCTAATATAAAAACTCCTATTTACTAGGGCATCTGAAGTTAACACAGATCTATTGAAACCATTCCTGTTTATATATTAATGGCGTAAGGAGTTAGATTTCTCCCTGCTCACTTTGTAGAGTTATGAAAGCTATTCAGGCACTGCTTAAATTTAGGTATTCATTGGGAATAGTTTTAAAACACTCAGCTATGGTGGAGGGGCCTGGGTGGGAAAGGAGAGATGTTGATCAAGTGGTCTGAAGTTTCAGTGGGAGAGGAGGAACAGGCTCTGGTGATCCATTACACAGCATGGTGACTGCAGTTAATGATAACGTATCGTAGATTTCAAAAGAGCTAAAAGAGTGGATTTTAAATGTTCTGACCACAAAGAACAGCCTGATTTGATCATTCCACAATGTATATATATGCATCAAACCATCACATTGTATCCCTTAAATATATACAATTATTATCAATGAAAATAACACTAAAAAACACTTTGCTACAAAAAGTGAGGGAACATATTGACCTTTTTTTTTGCTGCATTTTGTCTTTATGCATCATATAATACTTGTACTGACTTATTTATTTATTTATTTTAGAGATAGGGTCTCACTCCGTCACCCAGGCTGGAGTACAGTGGCATAATTACGGGTCACTGTAACCCTGAACTCCTAGGCTCAAGTGATCCTCCCTCCTCAATCTCCCAAGTAGCTGGGACTACAGGTGTGCACCACTGTGTCCAGCTAATTTAAACTGTTTTTTTTTTCTTTTTTAGAGATAGGATCTCGCTATGTTGCCCAGGCTGGCCTTGAATTCCTGGCCTCGAGTGATCCTCTTGCCTCAGCTTCCCAAAGCACTGACAGCATTCTACATGAGGGATATGTATCAGGTGTGTGAACATAAGTGGGTCTCCTGAGTCTTGTGTCTGCAGGTGTCAGGTAGGGACCTATATCATGAAGATGTACCTAGAAGGGATGAAATATGAATTAAGTCTGGAAGAACAAACAGGCATAAATAGGAGTCAGCCAGCCTGGAGTCATGGGATGGGGTGAGAAGCCAGCGTAGGCTTTTAAGGAGAGGGAGTGCCATGTGCAAAGACCCATGGTGCCTATCCAGTGGAACTGCAAGCAATGCAGTAGGGTAGAAATTGGTGGGGTGTGTGTGTGTGTGTGTGTATGTATAGGGGAAGAAACAAGAGACAAGACTGTAGAGGTAAGTAGGCACCAGACCACGCAGGGTCTTATATATCCAGTAAAGAGTTTGGACTGAATGTTTTAAATGGAGGAGTACCAGGCCGGGCGCGGTGGCTCAAGCCTGTAATCCCAGCACTTTGGGAGGCCAAGACGGGCGGATCACAAGGTCAGGAGATCGAGACCATCCTGGCTACCAAGGTGAAACCCCGTCTCTACTAAAAAAACCCAAAAAACTAGCCGGGCGAGGTGGCGGGCGCCTGTAGTCCCAGCTACTCGGGAGGCTGAGGCAGGAGAGTGGCATGAACCCGCGAGGCGGACCTTGCAGTGAGCTGAGATCCGGCCACTGCACTCCAGCCTGGAAAATAAATAAATAAATAAATAAATAAATAAACGGAGGAGTACCATAATCAATCATATCTTCATTTTGAAAAGACAACTCTCAATTAAGCTGGAAAACAGACCAGAGGACGAAATAATGCAAGCATGGACACCTGCTAAGGAAGAGGCGGTGGCAGCCTGGATAAAAGCACTTGCAGGGAGAATGCCTATAGTTTGAGAACTCATTGGATGGGGCTGGGAGAAGGAGGAAGGAGGGAAAGGCTCAAGCTTGTGGTTAAGGCACCTTGGGGCTGGCGTTGCCATTGAGTCTCAGGGTATGCATAGAAGAACGGGAGAGAGTTGGTTACAGGGTGGTGAGTGATTCCGGAAAATAATGAGTTCTCCATTTTTCGATATGTAGGCTGTCACTAAGTATTTTTTCTCATTATAATTAA